TGATAATTTATCTTTTGCACAAAGAAGAAACAACATAATGGTTTCATATCCACTGAGACCTTTTTAGTATGACGTTTGTCTTTTATTTTCAGTGCTTCTTTGGACACTGAAACCATGCCAGATTTTAAGCAGCCGTAATTGCAACTTTACTTTCTCTGAATAGTGCCGTATATGCGGGCTGCATGCATAAACAGTAGTTATTGATCTGCATCGCTCAGGGAAATAACGAGGGTTACATTATGATACAAGACCTAAATCCACAGAGTGTCTCACCTCAAACAAGCATTCATTCAAAAAGGCACAGCGCTTCGCCCGTCAAAGATGGCGAAACCAACTAAAAGCCACTGACTAAGCATTATGTCCCATTAACCAACCAGTGAGGATATTGATATACTCTAAGCAAAAACAAAAAAATGGACACATTAATGGACAGGAAAAGCTCCAGTATACAAGAACGCCAACCACAGGTCAAAACAAGCAATTAACCCCTTTGGGCAATCTGAATGCTTTGCCAAATTAGTTTAAATGCAACATCCTCTCACTTTAAAAGTACACAACAAGATAAAGGGGGAACATGGGCAAGTTCACACCTTTTACTCCACTGAATATTTCTTTGGTTTCTCCTAGTTTAGGCACAAACCTTTAAGTCTTGGCTATAAGGTTATTGAAGATTTACATCGTTATTGTTCATGAATAATGAATAAAAAACATATTGATCATTAGCAGGCAAAAAACTGTGGTAACACTTTATTTTGAAGGTCCCCTTTAGACATTCTGTTGACTATTAGTAACGTTGCACCTACATGCCAACTAACTCTCGTTAGTAGACCAATTTAAGTGTCTGAAACCAACGTAAAAAAAAAAACTGCTAGAGAAAACAAAGATTTGTGTAGTTGTACTCTTTACTTAAATCTTTATCGTTACTAACATTGTGACAACTAGCCACAGTCTCAAACTATAGCCTTTGTTTAAAGCAGTTATAGTTCGTTAAAAAAGCTTAGCAAAACATCTGTGACAGACAGTAATGCTGCTGAAAAACTTTTTGACAGCTTTACTGAATTGTTTTTCACAGTTATGCTCCGAGACCTTTGAACATATTGCTTGAGGAAATGTACATTGTCATATGAACATAAAGTGACAACACCTCATCAGCAGCAGTTCAACACAACCCTAGACTCAAAGCTTGGTTCTGGGCATCAATTAAAGGTGCAGTAGGTGATCTGGGAAATGCTAACTTTAGCCTGCTAGCATTGAAAGCATATGAAGCGAGATGACCAGAGACAACGTTATTGGATTACATCATATGTCATTCACCAGTGAGAAAAAATTACAGTACAGTGAGTAACAGTGCTACAATAACGTTTGCCTGCCATTCTCGCTCTGTCTGCATAGCGTACGTGAACACAGTGATGACGTATGATGTCTGCGTGAACAGGCTGTGCAGTGAAATGCAAACACACGTTGACTGACAAGGGAACACATGCTTTCATTTCATTCAGACGGAATAAAATGATTGAACAAACATTTTATGGTCCTACGCCTTCCACAGACGATATTTATAAACATTTAGTGCGTGCATAGTTATTTTTAGGCAAGTCGATATTCTGACAATATTTTTCCCCAAGCACATTTTACCAATTCCAAACCACACCAACCTTAATAACTTTTAATTTTGTATATAATATATGCAATGTTGGGGGTGACGCATTTCAAGTAACGTGAGTGACGTAATCAGATTACTTTTTCAAGTAACGAGTAAAGTAATGCATTTTTTTCCCCAAAAAATATCTGCGTTACTTTTTCAAATAAGTATCGCAAGTTACTTAGTTTTCCCATTTATTGACTGACAGCTCTCCTGTCCCCATATTGGAAGTGAGGTGCAGAGGCGTTGTGTGCGCTGTTTAAACATGATGCTTATTGTAGTTCTCCCTTTCACAAAAACAGATTCATTATTCCCTAAAATTAATAAAAACAGTGAAATGCAAACTCAGAATATAAATTCTTCAAACATGAGAAAGTGGTGCTTGTCCGTCAAGAGACATTTTTAATCTATCTTTATATAAAGCCTTTAAAAAACAGTCTTCATGTATTTCACAACACTTCCGCTTGTAATTCTTATTAAATCTGGATTATCACGTTTCAGGATTCTTTACCTTAGCAAAGTCTCTGAGGACCTGACACACCTTGTACATCTGGAGACTCCAGGTTTGCAGTTCTGGAAAATGATGGCACTGGAGACTAAAGCTTTACTGATGGTTTCACACCTAATTCTTCACCTTAATTCCTAAAATCTTTTGCAGTCAATTTATTTTCTTCTTACCCTGTGTTTGTGTCTCTGCTGCTACAAATAGCATTTCTTATCCAATGGTCACACCTTAATTTTGCAGTTTCTATAGTATTGCATCCTTCTCATGGGATTTAATAATTTTTGACTTTTCAGTGTGAGTTAAATCTCTCAAAAAAGAAAGCTTACTTAATAATTATGCCCATCTGAATATAAAGCATTTTTTTTCACGTCCAGGCCTTGTTAACAATTATATATCACTTAGAAATTATTATATACAAAATTAATAGGCTAGTTATTTAGAATGATGTGATTTTGAATTGGTAAAATGTTCTTGGAAAATAATGTGATCAGAATATTGCCTAATAATTATGCACGCACTGTATTCAATTATTGTTAGCTAATACAATCAAATATTTATATTTTTATGCAACTACACATGTAGTCAGCGTTCATCTCGCTCTGACTTCACAATGCCTATTTTCAGTGACTGTGTCAATATTGTGTTAAACAGTAATTTTCCTCTCTATTCTGGCCTCTTTGGCAAGACCAACAACCTTTGTATTTGAGTCCAAAGGGGAGATGGCAGTTTGCGCTTCTCACCCCATATCCTTGTTTGCACCTGCCTGCCCAGAGAGCCTTTGCTCTTCCTGGTCATAGAAGGTTCAAGGGAAATCAGTGGAATCAAAGGTCATTGTCTCCTGGCAGACCTAATGTTTCCCTTTGTGACCGTCACATGCTGAGCCCAAAGTCCCTTTGTTTTTTAACTCTGCTCTCTGATCTCTGATCTGGGTTCAGTGTTTGAACTGCTATCCGTTTCTAGGCACACAGAGGAAAAAGATGTGCTATTTAAACCTCTGATTATACTTTAATTGCTTGACTTTGATTTCGCTGTGATAAAATTAAAAAAATATTTTTGGTATCTGAGTGCTGGTGCATTATTCTATAAATACACAACAGAAGTACAACCAATTGTTTTTCAAATAGCATAATATTCCTGACAATTTGGGGGTTGTGCATTGAGCATCTCATTTAATTTTTCTAAACCAATGATAGTATATGGATTTTACACATTAGAACACAATAGTATTTTACTTTTTTTTTTTTTTTTTGCTGAAAAATGTAATAGTGTATTCTTACCTTCATAGTAATAGGCTATATAGCAAATCTCAGCGGCCTGATTTTAGTTAATCGCAAACTACTGGTATAACTATATTACCGGCCAGATCTCTACATAAAGTTTAATTTTTTTCTGCATTCATACTCGTGTAGGGCGATTTATACTTACATTGCAAATCTCAAGTACTTGATTGCTTGATTCATTACAAAATTGCACAATCTTCCAGCTCCAATCTGGTAAATGTGACTATATATTAAAATGTTGTTAATGTTAACATCATGGTTTTCTGTAAAGCTGCTTTGTTCAATGTTGTGAAAAGCGATACAAATAAATTTGATGACATGATTTGGGGGGTAACTGAACATCTTACTTTAAACCTGTCTTTAATCTAGTCAGAGCCCTGAAAAAATGTGTAATGTGTAAACATCACACACGAGCAAAAGGTTTTCCTCACAGCTTGTAACACAAACATGTGACTATATTGGGAGGGAGAGAGAATCTACTGTAGTAAGGAGGGGCAGCTGGGATGTTAACATCTCTTTGTATGCAAGAGAAAGCTGTGAAAAACTTGATGGCTGATACTGTCCCATCAGGATATAGCCCATCTGTAACCTCAGCGGGGCATGTTTATTCCAGCCAGAACTGTTGACTGGTCATATGGGGTCTTAAAAGGTGTGAACTTGGTGTAAAACCTGAGACTTCTTAAAGCATAGAAAGGCTGAACTAGGCAGGCAAGTCGATTTTTAAATGTGAATGTTTTTGCTTCATTTTTCCTACAGCAAACAAAATTAGATTTTAAACTATATTTCTTATTATAATACCATTACCAATAAATGTATGAAGAAATTAAGATAGATAGATAGATAGATAGATAGATAGATAGATAGATAGATAGATAGATAGATAGATAGATAGATAGAACTTTACTTTATGCAATTGTGCTTCAATCTGAGTTGCATTTGGTTACATTTGATCACGCAAGTCATGAACTGATTTAAAGCCCAGGGTTAGAAAGAAGACAGATATTTAAGCTGTGGCTTTAAGGGTGGCGTCCATAAGCATTGGGAAATCCGATTCATCTTAGCGATTCGATTCGCACGGGTGATTCGTTTGACTGAGCCGATCAAACGATTCAATGATTCATTTGAATCATTACTCAAAAGTATTCTCAGAAGTCATTTTACTCTTCTTTGTTTTGTTATTGTTGTAAAATACAGTTAAGTACGGGTATAGCCAAATGTATGATTAATTATATTTTATGTATCACAACATGTGATGTCACCTACGCTACCCCACAGATTTTCCCACAGAGATCACATGGAAAACAGGTTTTTTTTAGCTTGTTTCTAGCTTTTCCAGTCTGTTTTTTAGTTTGCCCTGGCTGGTTTTGCTTTCTTTAAAAAACTATAGCTATCCTGTCTTGAGATAATTTATTATATTGTTAATGGAAATTATTGTTGTAATTACGGATATTTGGTGGAACTATGTTTACCATAATAGTGTAGCCTATTTATTTTTTATAAATGTAGGCCTACTCACTCTTTGCGAATCGGTTCGACTGAATCCCTACAAGAACGATTCGCTCTTGAATCGGATCTCACTAGCGTCCATGAGGAGGGTAGGAGGAGTGAACATGGCATTGCAGAGTGCCGGGGATACCTTGAATAAACAATTCAGTCAAGCGACTGACTGCAGGACTCAAGAGCAGAAGAAAACCGCGCATGTGGGGAATAGACGCTGTCAGCCCCAGTCATCTTTCCGTTTTCCTACATCTGAATTGTTCGCAGAGAGAAATATCATATGCGCGCCTCCCTAAATGCAGCATAATTTTCAACTGGATTCTCTTCATCCGAGCAGGTAAGGCTTGGTGTGAAAATAAGATTTCTGGTTTATTTATTCGTTTGGTCATCAATGTATTAGCAGCAAATACAGAATCCGCTATGTATTTGAATGGCTTGTGCGTATATGTAAGCAGAGGATATATAGGGTGGTGTGAGCTGACGTTTCCATTTTGAGTCTTCATTTATTTCATTGAATGTTTACATGCAGGCATGCACGTATAATGTGTGCGGTTGTTTTAACAAATGCATGTGATCAAACGATTACATGAAAGCGTCAAGGACTATACGCACCCTATATCAGAATATAAGTTACACATGTAAATTTATAGAGGGTGCACCGGCAAGCACGTGAAATGTGATATAAAAGAGTGTTGTTGTGCTAATAGTAGCCGAGCTCAGTTAAAGCACTAGATACATTGTTGCTGTGGTTGTGATAAGAGGATGGTTTTAGCACCATGCTTACCTCGTAGTTTATGTATAGTCTAACTGAGACAAGTGCGTGTGTGAAATCTTTAACATGCTCCAAGATCTTTCATTGAGTAACAAGAAATGATCTCGCATGGCGCATGCTATAAATCTTAATCCTGAAATTTTGTGTTTTTATGCTTCCTAAAAACAATATGGTTTGGAGTTCAGTTTCGCAGACAGTAGTATGAGTTTTGTAAAAAGAACATCACATTATTCACATAATCATTTTTTGAGCATGTGGGTAGTTTTACAAAGTAAACGGCACTTTTGAGAAATAGCAATTATGTACTCTAATTTGAGACTCCAGCTGTCTTTATTTTTATTCTATGTGGAGGTGGTCGCCCCCTTATGCGCGCAGACATGTTGATATCACATGACCAACTGGGTCATGCAATTGATCAATTTGTGCAATTGCGTAGGCTGCTATTAAAATTTGTTTACATTATATTACACTTTTAAAATGTAGGTGGTTTACAAGCATATGCATTAAAAGAAAAACACTACAATATGCCTTTTTTTCCAGAGAGAAATCGCAACAGTCTGTCATTTGCATTATTATGCATTATATGTATTCGTGTAGTTAATGAGATAGAAAAAAAGATAAACAGATTTGGTGCATACTTGGCAGCAGTTAGTAAACATACTACATGCCTCCAGGCCAGTAGGTGTCAGTATGATGTTACTGAGTGCACCTTTATGTATTATATATTCATGCCTCTGGCTTTTGTTTGCATTTCTCTCAATCCAGTGTGGAGCTGTGGATAACAACAGGACCTGAAGTATATAATGTTCAGTGGGTTGACTCATAGGGTTTTTTAGGATAAATATACCTTATGACATTAGACAGTACTGAATGAGCATGGTGTTGTGTCATTAGCTCAGCTGCACCGAATAATGTACTGTATGACACCGTCTCTTTTTTTAAGCACACAATGCACTGTATGTGGGCAGTTGCGTTGATTTTTATTTTTGTATTGAGCATGACTAAATAAAAAACACTGAGATGGTTCTCTTCTTACATCAGACTTTACACTGTTTTTTATGGTTTAAAAATGTCCCAAATGTTGGGAGGAACAGCTTGCTTAAGATCACAATTACATGTAACCCAAAAACCTGACTACCCACTCACATTATGTTAAAGCGTAATTTGTTTATAGTGTGGTTCTGTTTAAAATTAAAGCTCTTAGTCTTTCTGAAAGAGCTGTGAAGGAAGCTTTTGTAAACAATCTTGTCACTGAAGTCTAGATTAAAAGAAGTGGATATCTAGGATAGTGATAACAGCCAGTTAATAGTAATATTTGTGCACTCAGTTTCAACTCATGTTTTCCATATTTGTAAATGAATGACTTCATGTAGCATTTCTTCTTATTAAAGGGGATAGTACACCCACAGATAAAAAATTCCAACATTTATTTACCATCGTTTTGTTCCAAACTTTTTTTTTCCCCATATGAGTCAGTGGCATCCCAAGTTGTTCTTGACCCCATTTCTTTCATTGTATGGAAAACAAATATATTATAACAACTTTTTAGGGCTGGGTTCTCGATTCTAATAGATTCTCATTTATGTGAACTGATATCGATTCTTAAATCCCAGAAATCGATCTTTTAGTCTATGCTGTTTTCAGTTGATGAATGAATGGAATTGTAACGACTCCCATCCAATAAATCACTATAAGCTTTGTTACTTTTGATATCAAAATAAGTTTTTCAAATTCTGTCAATTTTATTACAAAATTTTAATGTGGTGTGACTGATCGCTGTGGCGCCTCAGAACAAACAGAGCAGCAGCACGAAACGCACATGAATTAATCATCTCTTTTGCTTTACTACTAGTTACAGCATGGAATAAATATGAATGAACATTAGAAGGTATGTTAAAAAATACTTACCGAAATCCTTATGTCTCATGTAATCGCTCAATCAGTGTTTGAACTGAGGAAAGACGTCAATAAAATAGCCTGTAAACAGTGTCACGTAATGTTACATTTACCTCAGAAAAGCCAGTCATTGACCATAAACTCGTTAGTCATGATCTATAGAGAGGAACATTTAGCTAAATCTATGCATATTCATTATACTTTTACTGTTTTTCAATATTATATGTTTAAATAAATCCGTCAAGTATTAAAGATAGCCATCATTTAAATGTTTATATTTCCAAAAATCAACGTAATTAGGTAATTAAGTTAGTATTTTAACTTTATTATTATGGCGGCAGTGGCTCAGTGGTTCATGTAGGTTGTCTACAATCCGGAAGGTTGGTGGTTCAATCCCCGGGTCCACTTGACCAAGTGTCGAGGTGTCCATGAGCAAGACACCTAACCCCAGCTGCTCCCGACGAGCTGGATGGCGCCTTGCATGGCTGACACCGCAGTTGGTGTATGAATGGGTGAATGTGAGGCAATATGTAAACTGTAAAGCGCTTTGGTGGCCATGGGTCTGTGGCCTATATAAGCGCTATATAAATGCAGTCCATTTACCATTTACCATTATGAAACTTCCTTGTGTGTAATTTAAGTATTTGTATACAAATCACTTAATTTTAACCTTCAATATTATAGTAATGTAGTACGAACTAGTTTACATCATTAGTTGAGAGATTTTTATTCTTTGAGAAAATTTACTATGTATTATACCTGATATATCCAAAATAATCGCTATCCTATCGAATCAGAATAGAATCGAATCACAAGCTTGTGAATCGAAATCGAATCGAATTGTGAAATTTGTGTCGATAACCAGCCCTCCTCCTTTTGTGTTCACAGAAGAAAAAGTCATACAGGTTTGGAACGATTGGAGATTTGAGAGTGAGTAAATGATGATAAAATTGTAATTTATGTGAACTATTTCTTCAACATTCCTGTTAGTGAATTCATAATTAGACAGTTATGGTATAGTTATATGGACATACACTAGTCAAAATATATGGATATCTAAAAGTGAATGTTTTTGATTATGCATAGAAGTGCCTGTGGTTTTCTTCTGTATTTGGTTGGACTCCTAAATGATGCTCACAGTCCTACAGAGATGTTTGCCAACTCTTGCTTTGCTTTTTTGTTGTTCTGAATAATATTATGATGTCAGTTCATCATATTACAAATTGAATTTCGAAGCTCAGGTAACTGGACTTTGACAGAGTATGCAGTTAGCGTAGAGAGACAGAAATACTCCTGTCGTTTTGCACAGGGCGGAACAGTAAATGCCATCTGATCATGTGGAAAGAAAGCCAGGATGAGGAAATGGAGGGATGAAGTGAAAAGGTGAAATGGTTTGTGTGTGTGTGTGTGCGCGCGCGCATGCGTATGGATGGCTGGAAGGGGTATATTGTTCATGAGATAATGGCAGGATCATCTACCAGACAGGAGGTCACCACGCCCCTCAATCATAACCCATAATTGATTGACCATAATGGAGATTGAAGTACATTATTCATAGTTTGCGAGAAAAATATTACAGCCGGCCCACTGTGAGATCAGGGTCAGATAAATCAGGAAGAGAGGTATGCATGCAAGCAAACGGCTTGTTGAAGAGACAACCAGCTGAACGTGATCTTGTAAACATCAGGGATCAATGCGATCTCAGCAGCGCACTAGCTTTTAAGAAAATACATTTACAGTGCCTCTTAAATTGGCTTGTGTTGTGGTCCAGGAGGGGAGGGAGGGGGGAGGGGGGGGGGGGGGGGGGGGTTGGTAAAAAAAAGACAAATGCAAGCAAATAGTCCCGTATTAAACTAATGGCGTAAGCAAAAGTGGAGGGCAAAAGGAAAGAAGCATCTTAAATCATGTCTCCGTGTGCCAGCTCATCTATCAGCAGTACACCACAGAAATGATTTTTCCATCTGTAGAATAGAAATGTCAGGCCGAGGCAAGCGATGTGTATCAGTGATGTTTTTATAGAGTACGCCAATATTAGGTATGCGATTTATGACACATGTGCAACTATCCTTAACTTCACATGCATAGACTCTCAGAAATCAGAAGCCAAACTTAATGGGTGGTAGCCAATGCTGTTTGTGAAGGTTTTTAGATTTTTATCCGTTTGTATAATATCTCAGTCCATAATCTACTTTTTTATTTACAGATTCCTATGAAATTGTATAACCAAGCCCACATGGAATATGTGCCCACAGAAAGTTCCACAGATTTCTGTAGAATTGGAATGCCAGTCATTCATAAAATTCTACACATGCCTCGCCCCACAATTTTTGGGTCAATTCCTGACATTTATGGGTTGTTGATAAATAACATGCCCATGAAGATTTGTTTCTAAATCAACATCAAGATTTGAGGTAAAAAAAAAAAAAAATGAATAAGAGAATGTGTATATTTATTTTAGGTGCTGTGACTGGTCACCATTTCTTCTAAAACAATTTTTTATTTAATATATATATTTTTAAATAAAGACCTATCTGACCTGACCACTCACAATTTTTTAATATAGTTATTTAATGAGTGGCAAAATGCTGTTTTTAAAGTTGGCATGAAAAGAAAATTCAACCTATCTTTTTGCTAAATGCACATTCACATTCATTTTTCAGTGCAATGCCCACATCTCAAAATCAAATCAACAACCCATGCATAGAACCAAGTCACCTACCAACATTTTTTCTTTTTCGATAATCCATTTCACAAAAATATCATCTCTTCTGTTTCATAGTGACTTTTAGAATTCTAGGGGTAGTTTAGCATTTCAGACCGTACGACACGTCAACGTCCCGGAAATATTTCATGTCAGCTACCAATAAAGGCTCGATATAACCATATTAAAATCCATATCACAGCATGTGAAAATTGTCTGCAGATTCTTTCTGGGGCTTCTTATAACTTCTTATAACTACAGGAAATGTCATAGTGACCTTTGAAACTTTCAAACCAGTCTTTTAGTTTCTTTGGACATTGGCTGATTCTGGAAATATTTCCCAGAAATATTCACCAAAACCACTACATTTAAGCTCTGCACTGTAGCCATTACGAATAAGGATTGCGGCGTGAGCCGATCATTTCTAACATGTATTGCCCTGCCTGGCTCCTACGTCTATGTCTCTAGACAGCTTTAATGGCTGTAGGGATAAAGGTTTTCGTAGGTCACCATGTGGCAGGATCAGCATAATTGAAGGCTTGAGAGGACGCAGTAGGGGCAATGGTTAAATTGGACTTAAGACTGTTATTCAATGGTGTCTTAATTTAACCACTCTGGGTTATATGAAGCAAATCCCACTGAGAAAAGTGGCTCACTCGAATGCCAATCATTCCTCACCGATCCTGAGACTTTTGAAGGTTACAGGGCTGTCTGTGGCTGGGCTGACGGATTGATGTATGTCCCCCGTCGAGCAGAGAATTCAGAGTCCAAGGCCGCTGCAGTGCTGTCCTATTAGGGTGGATTGTCCTTCACAACTTCTTAGCCGCCTGTCCTTTCTGGAGCCTACAGAGCTCAGGCAAGGGCATTGTGTCTGCTACAATAAGCCGAGCCATGGAGTGCTTCACCCACACATAATTATATGGCTTTAATGCAAGCATCTTTCAATGTTCATCCACTCACACCAGCAAGCGCAAAAAGAGTGGCGTTGTCAGAGGGAGTCGGTGGATGTATCCCTACTTCATTACGACTGGCTCTTCGGAATTAAATTGGTTCAGCAATTAACTAAAAGGGGATTTTTAGAATTTATGAATGACTGAGAAGATTGATATATTGCAAGAGAGGAGAGCAGCATGTGCAATGGATGTGAGGCAGAGGTAATGGATTTATTGTCACATTGAGAGGCACATGAAACGTGGTGGAGAATCACCGTATCCACTTTTTTGGACCATAACAGTTGATCAGACTTGTGGCATTGTCTATGTGTTCGAGGCTGGTTTCTGCCAGGTACTGGGAAAGTAAAGTATTTTCAAGGAGCTCTGTGGTGGCATTACGACATGAGTGATTTCACCAGCTGCTTTTTTGTGTACCCAGTTCGATAAGATATGAGGTCATGCTTATGACTTGCTAGATGTTGTCAGGAAAATCGAATCCAATGGTTGCCTGCCGAGACAAAGACGGCTCTATGCCGAGCAGATCAAGAAAATAATGCACAGCTTGAACTTAGACCTTCGAGGTGTTTCTTAAGAGTTAATTAAACAGAATTCATTACCAGGTAATCTATAACATATGGTGAGAAAAGATTATTGTGCCACCACTTTGAATACAAACGCTAGGGATTACCGTCTGCTCTGAGTGTTGGGCTTTTTAGAGTTTGGATTACAGCAGGGTGGTTTGATATATTTTTTGCCACCATGGACATATGTCAAATGGTAGATATTTTTCTGTAGTTTTTATACTGCAATATTTTTTTAATCAGGCTGTATATAAATTATGTGCTTATGTACTTTATTTTATGGTCTTGGCGGAATAGACCTGCTACGCCCCGTAGCGCTCTATACAGGTGGAGCTGGGGAAGGTGGATGGTTTCTGAGGCGTGCTGGGAACAGCAAACAATGCCAAGTATTTGAAATCTGAGCAGCAAGCTCATTGGCTGCTGATGCCACAGCTACCAATCAACTGCACTATGTAGATAACGATGTGATCTCTTAACAATTGAGCTAAGGACCTATCAGCCTGTGCCATCTAGAGATTCACGACAGAACTTTGTATTTTATATAGTTATGCACACACGAAGGCGCCAATTCATAAAGTAAAATGAGAAAAAAATAAATACACAATTCAGAAAATAATGAATATCATCGCTGTTGGGCGGAAACCTTGTATCTCCAAAAACTACTTTTTAGGAAGTGGAAAAACCACTATTTTTAAATAATTAAATACTGCGTTGTCAAAGTAGCTTTGTATATGATCAGACACTTGCATGAGTCATTATGTTATTAAAAATATCAAATGTATTTTTGGCCAGTGAATTTGTTTTTTGTCCATCATTAGAAGGGCTGCATCTGAGGTAGTAAGT